GCCAGGGGGGAAAAACCCAACCGGGGGGGAAAAACCGGGGGGGGGGGGGGGGGGGGGCGTACTCTTATGTTTTGCATGCCTTAGCGGTTAGACCATTGACCACGCGTCCTCGAGAGGACGGAGCATTGTTCCCACAGGACCGATCACCGATGGCCAATCGTTCCTTCCTACTCTGCCAAAGGTGGCTCAAAAATGTCTTCCCTAGTTTGTCTATCCTACCGATGTCCCTTCCCGCCTTTTCAAACCACTTTCTACTCCCCAGTACCGCTACCGTCCTCTCCTCTCTATTCCATGCCTCAAACATCTCCCTGTACGTCACTTGTATTCTTCCCAGCTCAGTCATGTACACTTCCCTCTCCTTTTCGTACCACGGACATTCCGCGACTACATGAACACTGTCTTCGCATTCGAAGCCGCAATCGCATTTGAACTTATCGTCTTCGTCGTCTACCGTCCTATGTCTTCGTCGACGTTCGCGAAGGCCTATGTCCCCGGTCCTGAATTTGACCTTAAGCTTTGTCCCTGCATCCATTGGTCCATGTAGGTAATCCTTGAACCCTATTCCTTCTTTCAACATTCCGTACACTTCTAGACCCTCCTTATCCTTGGATTCTTTCCTTAGATTCTGTTCTTCTCTGTCGGCACAAGCAACAGATATCTTCTTCTTGAACCCCTGTAGACCCTCCGTTTCCAGCGTTTCATCTTCGTCGATGTCCAATCCCTTCAATACGTCCTCTACAACCTTGACCCATTCCGTGGGTTGTCTACCCCTCTTTTTGTTTGCCCACTTCGCCTCCCATACTATTCTCGGCAACCTCTCCTCTCCCATCCCGCACATGCGATACTGCCATGTCAGCTTCCTTACGTCTCTTCCCGACCGTAGGGATTGGATCCCCAATTCTGCCCTGACTGCTGCATTACTTGTGCGCTTGGAGCATCCTAGGATGATTTTCGCTGCTTTCATCTGCGCCGCCTCGAGTTCTTTCACTACCTTCTTATTTCCTTCCCATACTTCTCCGGCGTACTCTAGCGGCGGTACGATTACGCTCTTCAACACCGTCGATTTGATGCGTGTATCAAGGTGCCGGGGGGGGGGGCTCTATTTCCCGAACTAAGCACAATTCAAGGCTTCGTCTTCTCCCACTACAGGGAATACAGCTGTTCACAAAAAAACAACAACAAAAAAGAGAGAAATGTGGAAGGATACAAGAACAAACAGATAGGTGGCCCCATGCCGCCGCCCGACTCTTCCAACCTACGCCTAAATCAAAAAGCGGAAAGCTTGGTCATCCCTACAAAAAGGGACTGGACGAACCGCGAAACTGTCGACACATGAAACGCGAGCCAGGAAACAACATGGCATGAAAAAGCACAGCATTGGACAGGGGGGACCTCTGCGAACGGGTTCCCCCGCGCGGACGCCCCTCGCTGCTCGAAACTGGTCTAGGGTCAGATCCAGGGAGGGGGGGGGGGTATGTTGTATACCGCATATGGTACTTGAATATGTGGCATAGTATAACCTATATATTATTTATTGTATAAGATTTAGTTAGTTGTACTTAAATTTTTACACCTCGTACTGTACAGGTTTTAGAGACTGACTGTGATACGTATCTACAGTAGGACCTTGTTGTAGTTGTAGAAAAACGTTATTGATGCTCTGTTGTATACATACTCCAGATTTAGTATGGTCGCACACAATCCTATACACCTCTTGGTATACAGTGTGGGTTAAAACACATTATTTGATGCTCTATGTATTGAAGTACATACTCCAGATTTAATATGGTCACACATAATTCTATACACCTCTTATTGTTATGGCTTTAATAGCGTGATACAATAGCCTTAAGCGTCTTGACCAAACTCGCTTTTGCGACCGAAAAGAGGGGGGGGGGGGGGTAGCAGTGCATCAACCCTTGCGTTTGACGAGCCCCCTTGGCTCACGTTCAAGTAGTCGAAACCCAACGGGTAGGGCGTAGCCACCACCAAGAAACCCATCTCCGCGAGCCCGCTCAGCAGGTAGTTGTACGTCAAGTGCGGTGCCGCTCCCACGAAGGCTCCGCCGAGGAAGTGAACCAGGGCCTTCGGCGCCTGGTCGTCCGGGGGACGCAGGAGAAAGTTGCCCCCCATCTCCTCCCACCTGCCCTTGAGCCCCACGCTCTCCACGTCAAAGAAGGGGAGGGGAAGCCTCCCGCTTCCCCCAGCCCCGCCTTGCGCTCGTCGCCCCGTCGCGCTTTCCCCTCGCCCTTCCGTGTCTTCTGCGGCGGAAACCTTTTGTTGTTGTGGGGGGGGGGGGGTGTACTCATAGCCGGCCCACACCGTTCGGTGCAATTTAGTATTTGCCGCAAAACGTCCATACTTTAGTCAAATGAAAATTGTGATCGCTTTCCATGCTTAGATCACCAGCCACGGATACACAGCACACAATCCAATGGGGTGCGGAGGGAGGGCGGTCGAGGCCATGAAGACCGCTCACGCTCTCGTGCCGACACAGGAAACCTTCACGGTTGGGCTAGTTGCTACACACAAAGAGGTCTTGACGAGGGGGGCAGGTAGTTAGCGTGACAAGCGGGCGTGTGCCGATATGATCTTGATTTCTTGTTGTTCAGAGTTTATTGCTCTTGTGGCGCTTACAGTCCCCTTCTTTCTGCCACAACCGGTGAAAACAAGAGCCATCGTGTACTTCTTGCTCCCCGTGAGTGTTACCTGCTCTCTCTACAGCACCGAGTGAGCATATCTGTGATTCGGCGGGGCCTCTCACAGAAAGTGTACAACTCCACGACGCCAACCCTCCCCACCACCACAGGTCTTCGTGTGGTCACACAACAAGTCTCCAGTCGGTTTCAGTCCACTTACTGAAAAGACTTCACCACATCCCTTTCGACTGAGGTTATATCTCGAACGGGAAGTAGTCTTTTCTGTGAGGTTATGTTTACGTTCTAAAAAGATAAAAAAACTTTCCTCCTCATCCACTATTACGCGATCGGGAACAACACAAACTCTCAAGAAAGCAAAATAAAAAAGAGCACTCACGCTACTTGCCGGCACCCGCCCCTGCTCGCTAAATTCCGCATCGGCCGCCGTAGTGGTGTCCGGCACCGGCGCCGCCGACGACGATGAAGGTTCCGCGCGGCTAGACCCCACGACTGTTCTCCTACCCCTGGTGCTGCTGCTGCCGCCGCTGCTATCTCTTCTGCCACTTCGAGAGTACGCCATTGCCGCCGATGCCGCCGCCGCCGGTGGAAACCCTCCCGCTCTCGGCCGCAACTGCTACCGCCGTAGCGGAAGAGATGAATCGTAGTCGTTAATTGTTACGAGTTTCGGGTTTCGGGGGACAAAAGAAAGAGAAGGACCACGGGGGATGGGGGGGGGGGGGGGGGAGTCCTGTTAGAATTGATGTTTCTTGTTGATGCTGAAGCCGAACATGTCGCACGGTGAGAGGCAGGAGACAACCGTTGATTGGGTTCGAAGACACAAGCGCAGCTCCGCGGTATCTGTGGGGGAGCGAGGGGGAAGGTGTGCCGGGCGTCACCCAACACAGCAGTTGGCCGCTGATGCGTACAACGTAAACAGAGCACAGAATCAGCGCTTACACACGTCACATCTTGAAATAGCAGGCAGCCATCGCCAGTGTCCTCGCATCTCACCACACAAAAAGTGGGTGAGGAGAGTGGTCAGAGTCGGCGATCAAGGCCCACAGGGAATTTGAACCCCACTATATTTCGAGGCAAATATTTCAATATTTCGACGTACAAAGATGATGCATGAGGCTAAAGGTGGCGTTTGGCTGAGTGTGCTTACCGAGAGGTAGCACTGCCCCTCTCCCTCTTCGCCTCCCTTTCTTATCCATGGCAACTCTTCACACTATTATAATAAGAGTACCAGACAAGACCCGATTTGAACGAATAAGGTTCGTAGCAGTACATTCGTCGCGGTGTCATAGCTGCTACGTCTGTTATTCATGTAGGCATGCCAAAACGTGATGTTTTTACCCACAGAAGAGACAATCATCGAGCATTCCAGGGGCGAGGGCGAGTGTCCCATTGTTCCACACGACTGACTCCGCGAGTGGAACACAGCCCCTTCAGTGGAGCGGAGCAGCAGCTCATAGAGAAACTACTGTGTCCAAGCGTGAAGGACAAAAGTAGAGCACCGGTTGCAGCATCCTAAAAGGAACGTGGCCCACGCTAGCACGACACAATAGACCTGTACAATAGGGCCTCTTCTTCGTAAGGCAGACCACACGACGTGTATCAAACACCGCCGTGTGTCCCTGACAAACATGTGTCTACGTGTAACTGACAGCTTGAGACGTGATCACATGTGTCGTGTTGCACTTGAGGGAATCAATGCGACCTGAATTCGAAGCACCCCGCGCGGACCCCCATGCAGCATTGATCACCAGAGCGACCCCAACGGGGCGGCTGGGACGCTTCGCCGTGCTGCAGCAGTACTACGCTCAATGCCCGCGGTGGCAGTTGCTTGCCGGAGCGGCGTGTTCACGTGTGTACCGGCGCGAGCCCACCCAAATCTCTCTTCTCACCCCGACTTTGGAGCTGCCAAGCATGCTCTCACCGTTTTCAAAAGAACCCTCTCCCCGTGCGTCGATGCTGTCAGCGGTGGCGGAAGCGGCATGGTCGTGAAGGCAGCGGCGAAGGGACCGCCGCCGCCGGCAGCACCGTAACAGCAACATACCAACGCCGCCGCCGCCGCTGTCCTTCGCGCGGCGAAGTGCAACCTACTGCTACTCCGTGCTCCTTCTCTTCTGGGCACTCCCGGCCGGCAGCGCTTCCTGGCTATTGAAAGGGGCGTAGGTTCGGGGCATGACATTGCCGGAACGCCCCCCCTTCCTGGACAACAGACGTGTGTGTCTTGCGCTTGCACTCTTGTTCTCGACGTGCAAGGTGTTTGCGCCTTCGAGTCAGAGGTGGTCCGTGAGGCATTTCAGTCCGGGGACATTGGGGACGCGTCCCCTCCCATCAAGCGAGATCTTCGTCCATGGGTATTTGCAAACTTGGGGCGAGAGAGAGAGAGAGAGAGGGAGACGATACAGCGAGAAAATACTTGAGAGCTACCAGTTCACCGAGGGCATCAGGGACTTCGGGAATTATCATCAAGAGGTACAACAGTATGAAAGTCGCGTGCATTTTGCAATCCAACCGCCTGCCGATGATGAGGTCTCGCCGCACACACGCAGAGTACATATTGCAACAGCGGATGGATCCAACACCCGTTCGCCCGTCGGAGGGCTTGGAAGTAAGAAAGAAGAGAGAGGCCTGTGAGGGTTTGCTGGTCTGCCATGCTCTCTTTTAGTAGAACGGGGAGCCTCGACATACAACGCGCCCGGAACAAGAAAATCCAAGCAAAATCTACCCGACAACCCGTGCCGAGAAGATGCCCTCCCTGCACAGCGGGCTACACAGCAGCAGTGGTATATGGAGCAGCTCTTCATCCATGACATGTGACGTGTGGATTGTGGAATACTACCTAGAATAAAGGGCGTGCGTGACTATCGCATTCGTAGCGGAGTTCAATTCTGTTTTTCAACGCCATTACCTTGTATCTGCATCGGACGCATGTTTACCGTTTTTGAGAAGCTCCACTGCAGTACAGCAGTAGTCTAATCTCACCATGGTCCAGCAGTCTACGGGACATTCGGGACGGAGGCGAAGGAGAACCCAAGTGATGGATCACTTTGGTCTTGTAGCGAGATGAGGGTTTCCGGCTTGTTCAAAGTTAGCCTGGGCCCGGGGCTTCTTCTTCAGCCCCATCAGTTGCTTGTGGCACTCAACGTCGGAGTGTTTTCGTGCTTTCGTTTTTATGGTTCGAGGCCCACCCGTTTCCAGGGTTTCTTTATTCCCTGCCTTCGTTTGGACGCTTATCGATTACTTCGCCTTCCACCATGTAGATAGCGAACGGTGGGACGCACTTCCTCCGATGCTTCAGAGTCAGCTTTCGAACCCAATGACGCGTGTAGCGTATGAGCGAACATGGAGGTAAGGGAGCCAATCGAACACGCTCGCTCCGCTTGTAAATTGACCATCACCAAGATCTCCGAAGACTTCGTTCGAAAACTTGTCAACGAACCACGACCCCCCCCGGACATCTCTCTCTCTAATGTTCTGTCCCTCATTATGCCCCATTCACGGCCGCCGCCGCCGCCATGTTCACTCCCAACCTGCTGCATCGCACACGACCACCAACACCGACTCCTCTACACCTTCCGCTCGGGAAGAAGACAGAAGACATCACTGCCCTCATCAAAGACTAGTAGTCTAAGCCATGAGCACTCGCCTCATGTCCGCCGTGGGAGCAAACTCTACCTTGCACAACGCTAGCCGCGCCATGCTGCGCAGGGGCCTGCTGGTACCCCGGACTGCACGGGAAGCTCTCAGCAGCAGGGCCCCTCGTCCTCTCCCGCCGACCGCATCCCTTCTCCGGGGAGCACGACCTATGCTGCAGCACCAGTCCGCCAAAGGCGAGAAGTGGGGGGGGGTCCCAACGGGTATCGCGGTGGCGGCGGCGGTGATGGCTGCTGCTGCGCTTGTATCATCCCGGCGGGAGGATGGCCACGTTCCGGAGGTGCTTGCTGCCGAGGCGTACTCTTTGCCGATCGGCCGTACGTCTCCCCAAGTTGTGAGTGAGTTTCGTGGTCATGTTCGTGGATGGGGAGGGACCCACCCAGGCTTGTCGCCGTCGTCGCGTGCGTCGATATGTGCTTGTCGCTGCTGGATGTCGGCATTCAGTCGGGCGTAGGGAATACGGCATGAACTCACCCCGTCTGTTTCTGTCACGTGTGCCTCCCCCTCTCGGTTACCGTTTGACGAGACCATTGCAACTGAATAATCGAGGTGTCCTGATAGCCACATGTGAAGTCCGACTGCTTGGCACCTATAATAGTGCCCCTCCTTTCCCCCCGTACCACATACGGTACCCCATTTTCGTCCGATCCTGCCCCCCCCCCCCCCTTCCCACGATAGTGCAACTGCTTCATCGAGGTGTCTCGAGAGTCGCGCATGAAGTACGAGTGGGACGAGGAGACTAACATGCTCAAGCTGGACAGGGTGCTTCACGGAGCGGCCTTCTACCCCCACGACTACGGCTTCATCCCGCAGACTCTGTGCGGAGACGGTGACCCGTTGGTACGGTGTCAATCAAGGGTTGGGTTGGGCAGGGGTCAGAAAGAAAGCAGGGGATTGGAGGCATGATCTCGTACATCCCCAAGTCTTTCAGCCGTGGATCGTATCGTTCGGTTGGGGAGGGTTGTAGATCTGTACCTATTCAGGCAACGCCTATTCAACAAGGCGAAAACCAGGCGCAACCGTCGTCATCGTCGTCACAAATCGGGTTCCTCTTTCGGTCGCGCATGCACCCGTTACAGGACGTGCTCGTTCTGGGAACGTCGGCGCTGCAGCCAGGGTCGATAGTAGACGTGCGGCCTTTGGGCTTCATGTGCATGGGTGAGTGAGAAGCAGCAGTCGAGGTGTATGTTTTCTAACGCTCCGACGGAAAAATCCTGCTGCTGCTTAGGAACCTTCTTTCAGTACCACATGGATTAGGCCAAGCTGGTAATTCGCTGACTACTTCTCCTACACCCTGCTTCACCTTGTTTCACTCCCCTTCCCCAAAATTGAACCTGTGCCCCGTTCCCCTTCTATGAGATCTCCCTGTAGGTTCCCCCTTCATCCGCATGCTCAACCGTTGAAATTGAACCCCTCTGGTTCCGAGCAAAGCGGCACTATCTACGTTTTATCTTACGCATGCATATGTAGTCGTACTCTATTGTTCGTTTCTAGAGTAGACGAAACTCCGTGTGCGCGTTGTCAGCTTTTATTTCGTACGGATTATTCTTTCTATTGTGGCATAGAGGACGAGAAGGGTCTGGACGAGAAAGTTCTCGCGGTGCCGGATAAAGACCCAAGGTTCAACCACATGACATCGTTGAGGGACGTTCCGGAGCACGTGTTGCGCGAGATCACCAACTTCTTTGAGGTGTGTACGAAGAACAGTTGGTTGACATGAACGAACGCGCTTCTTGAACTTTCTTTGGTCTTGGTCGGTTCTTGGTCCCTGAGCACTCTGGATACCTAGGGATTTGAGAGTGCTACGAGGCACACTTCGGTGCAAAAGGTCGCCACCGCTGGCACGTACGTACCCGGCGATAGCCTCTGTCACCACCACCTTGCCGCCCACGGGAAAAAATGAAATTCTCACCCCTCGTCGCCGACGTGTGCGCAATTTGTTTGCCCGCTCTCGCTGTTTGGGCGTTGATGACAAAGCAGACATACAAGCAGCTGGAGAAGTCCAAATGGGTGAAGGTGAGTCTGAGCTGTAGACCTGGGGAGTTCTGTCGTGCTGAGCCCATTCATTCCCATGGGAACACAAGAGTATGCTCCATCCCCTCCTATTCGGCTCAGGCCAATCGTAAAAATAGCGTCTCCTATTGAAGGTACCCTGTCCCTCCCTTCAGTCCCGAACAGAGTCGCCTCGGGACGGACGTCTTTCGCCGTTTGTGCTCACCAACGTAGCCCGGCACCGGCCCCCCAACCCCACGAGCCACCGTTGGCAAAGATTGGTCGTCGGTGATCGGTCCTGTGGGAATATTAATATTGCCCGGCCCTCTCGAGGACGCGTGGTACCGCTAAAGCATGCAAAACATATGCACGACCCGTACCCCGCCACGTCACCCCACGTCACCCCCATGCTTAAAGGGTTTGAGTGCTATGATCTAAGCGTCCCTTCTAGACTAGAGAAATTTCAACAAGTTCTGGCTGGAGCTACAACTCCCGAGGATCCTTTTATCTAGGGAAGAGCTGTAACACTATCCCTACAAGCTGGGGGAGCACGACCCTCTTCGTTCAGTCTACCAAAGATCAAGCCAACAGCAAGCACAGCTGGTGGAACAGATCATTTAGCAAGGCATGATAGTCTTCACCGGTGTAATATCTGTTTATGCTCGCAGGTGGGTGGGTGGAAAGGAACAACGGACACCCACGAGTTGATCGACAAGACCCACCAGAAGTTTCTGGAGGAGAAGAAGAGGATCAAGGGGAAGCAGCATGGCACCGCCGCTGTTGCTTCCGCCACAGCCGGCGCCGGCGCCGCTGAGAGGAGGGTGAAGCATGCCATGGACTAAGGCGGCCACTTTAGCTGTGACAGCTGCAATGACTATGGAAGGAGGGTGGTGATGTGTACATAGGTTGATGGGGGTAGTTTTGAGCGAGGGGAGGTACTGAACACCATGCACGGTCGTAGTCTTCAGACCCTAGGCCCTTCCATCCCTGCACTGCCGTCGGCGGCGCGGCGTGTTGGTTTCTCACCCATCGCATTTGGGGAACGGGGGCGGAGAGCGGGGGGGGGCAGTTGCTTTGTGGGGGTGGTCCTGTCCAAAGCACGGTTTTAGAGATTTTTTGGAAATTGTTGTACGTTTGTGTTTCTGCATTATCTCGCCCCCCCACAGCGCCACTCTGTTCTACCCGATCACGTCCGCAAGGTCACGAGGCGCTGACAGACGACCCGATACTGTTCACATCACGAGAATCTGTAGGCATTGTCCTCCCCCCATTTGACAATTCGATGCCAAATGCACCTGAATGTGGAAAACATATCTGCGCTGCTTCCCCTCTCCCCCCCCCGCTCACCATTCATTGTATCGTTGTCCCTACGATAGATAGTGGGACGTAAGATGAGTTGCTGGGCGTTGTAGGTCCATGTTCCCACCGGCGTGTTTCAAGACCGTCATTTTTCGTGCAACGAGCTTTTAGCCTCCTATGCGCCCTATTTCTGTCATGTTCTGTCGTGCTAGAATTCCCGCGTATAGTAACAAGTGTTCATAGTCGTCTACGCCAGGTGGCAATGTACCATCATGCCAGCCACCCCACATCAAAATCGAAACGTGCCGAACAATGCAATCAATCGTGTGTCGGTGTCACAGGGTTAAGAAACCCCGTTGGCCGACGCACCCTGGGCAATGTTGATGCCACTGATTTCGTCGATCTCATATTCGGGGGTGGGAGGAAGGGCGCTTCTGGTCACGGCGCAGTTAATGGAATGGGTGTGTGTGAATACGGAGTGGGGTGTTGAGCGTATTGCTAGCGAGGTCTGGGCCAACCATCGGAGGGTGCTTTGCAAGCGTCCGCCCCTTGGAGTCGGCAAGAGGCAGAGAGCACTTGTATCAGCGGCGCGTTGAAGCGACTGTAGAGGCACCAACTACGCCGTAGCCGTCGGCGGCAAGGGTATACTGGTTGGGCGCGATATTTTCTTTGCCCCTCGGAGGTGGTGTGCTTGTTCTGTGGTGTGCGTTAAGCTGTGGCGTGATGTTACCGCTAGGAGTATGGTAGTATGATGGGAAGCACAAGCGTGGTGTGCTGCCAAGAAGGTGGGGGAGGAAAAGTGTTGGTTTGTCCAGTACCCGTCAAAATCCGCAGAAGTCTTATTTTTGCCCGACTCGCTTCATTCTTGTGTGACAGTGCAACGTACTTTGTAGATCCAAGGCAACTCTTGACTCTGTCGAAACATGTGTCGACTTCTCCAAACGAATTCTGTGGGCCTGCCTATGTTGTTCCAGCGGTAGCGTGCTCCGTGTAATTGGCCCCTCGTCGAGTATATGCCGCGGACTTCCGTGATGTGCACGGGTCCAACGCTTCCTGCTCTGACGTTTCGACAGCACAGAAGGCGCCTGAAGCCAAACAGCAGAGTATTGGCATCGACACTTTCCTCTCTCCAGCTATCGAGAACAGAGCGCGACTAGAAACGATCACACACGTGAAACACACCATTATATGCCCGCCGCAGTCTACCTGTCTACCCGACCCCAGACGGATAGAGTGAGCGTGTGGGAGACACCGGGGGGAAAACATTTTTTAGAAAGTAAGAACCCAGTGTACACGACCCCCTTTCAGCGGAGGAGGACATCAATACTCTAAAAGAGGTCGACAACGCAATCGATCCACGGAGAAGACGAGGGGGGAGGGGAAGAATATGTTTCTTTAAAACCAGGAGGAGGAGATAGCCTTCGTCTCACCCCAGTACGCCTTACACCTATCCACAATGTACAACAGCAACCCAACCACAACCCACAAACAGTACCATCTACCAATGCACCCCCCCCCCCCTGTTATCTAAGGCGGACAATAATCCACATGCCAAAATACCATCCTGGATATTGCGAGAAGACGGGCGACTTTCGCAACGTCGGCACTGAGATGGTTGAGGAAAAGAACAATCCACCGGGGGGGGCGATTCACCGCACGCACCTACAGGTGCAAAGTCCCGAGCCATTGTTTTCTATGCCTCGAAAGCATGAGACCTCCTGCGCATTTTAAGGAGGTACTCACAGACAAAACCACCCTTGTTATTTCTAATTGAAAGCCGCCGACAGGGACCCGGTGCCCGCCAACACGCACGAAGACACCGCGACAAACGAAGCAATATCGATACAACAGAGAATCATACAAAACTGCTTTGTGCTTGTGCAGGCCAGCCGCGTTGCCTTCTTCAAGCTGTACTGGCCTCTCTCTCTCTCTCTCTCTCTCTTGCTCTCTCCGTCTCAGTCTCTCTTTCTCTCTCTCTCTGGGTGCAAACATCATTTTGCCACACGCACTCCGCGCCGTCTCCCTTTCGACGGAGATCACCTTGGAATGCACTTAACTAAACACGCACACGTGTGTTCGACGCAACGCAGTGCCACGTGCGTTTTGTAGTACTACAACTTTTGCCGCTTGACCTTCCCCTGAATGACCTTGGACGTTGCCAACTTGTTGAACGCGCGGGACTTCCAGCCCACGTACTCCTCTGACGAGCGGTACCTGTTCGAAACAAACACATTGTTTGTTTGTTGAACTCCCATTTTGCTCTGAACCTGCTAAGTGTTTTCACCCTTTGATGTGTTTGGATGCACCAGCCGGGGTCACACAGGCGGAAGGTCACAAGCAGGAATTCTTACTCTCCATACGCATATTCCTTCGCGGAACTAATCACAAGTAGTACCGCGAGAAGGATTGAGCCGCCCGTTTCCCTAGTCGTGCGTCGAGCTCTGCTGCCAAAACGTTTTCGAAATCACTGTCAAACGACTTGCGCCACCAACATAGGCATAGCTGTCGAAGCCCCCGTCTGCGGGGGCCCCGTGTTCGACGGTTTCAGTCCGCTTGAGTCGAAAATAGCTCGAAAGTCGCCTGTGCCACGGGTGACGATGCCAATGCTCATCTCGACGACAAGCTGCAAGAAGACGCGTGCCAACAACACACATATCCACACCGCATGACTGAGCGAGTGTACCACTACTGTAAGGGCAACATGTAATATTTCGAAGCAGTCTCCACCGCACGCACGACGACGAAAGAACCTCCCCCATCGGCCTACGACCATGCCCATCCATCCGCCAACGGTGCCGTGAAGCGACACCACTCACCCCGCGTTGAACAGGCTCTTCTCGAGGTTGGGCAAGTCCCTCGTGAAGCTGTTCACGTCCTCGTTGAGGCTGTTGAGGGAGCAGTCCAGCAGGCGCTTGAAGCGCTCGCCGCTGAAGACCATGAGCAGGGTGTCCTGCAGCCGCTGGTCTCCCATGAGCGACGCCAGGACCACGCCAACCTGCGCGCGTGATGATGATCATGGAAAAGCGCGGGTGTTCCCGTGGTTCGTTTCGATTCCATGCGTTTCGATTCCATGCTATGCGTTTCATGCATTCGTGTTGTTTTTGTTCGGAACCCGGAGGGTAGTATGTACCCGTGAGGGGACTCACCCACGCAGGCATGTTCCAGATCACCTTGTATGGTGTGATGGAAACGTGGCAAGTGCTTGTCCACTGCGTCCAGAAGGCTCACAAGAGGCACTGCTGAGCAAGCTTGTGTCGTGCAGAGGCGGCATGGCATGAAGTATTATAGCGCTTCTGTGGCAAAAAAACGCACTTGAGCTCGTAATGATCAGGCCAGGGCATGCACTGCAGTAAGGGTAATATACGCTGTGGGCGGAGGTACGTTACCGATAGACCAATGATAAACAAGTGGGCTGGTGCACACTATCGGTTTATCGATACATACATGGACTTCGTACTCCATGTGGCACATCGATACACCATGGAGATGGTACTCAGAAGTACCTTGAGGACCGATACTTCGGCCTTGAACACTCCACGAGAGAATAGAGATGTTGAAGCTACAATGCTTTTCACGCCCAAGATCTCAACGACGGGAGGATCCCGACGCCGAGAAAACATAAAATGGACATGGCTCTGGGAAGGTCTCTGCGCAGGCTGTTCGAGATGACACCGAGCGGTACTGTTTAACACTCCACACCCCCTGTAGTTGATACACGCCCGTTGACGAGAACCCGGCAGAAAGTGGCAGCACGATAACACCCTTGCTCGCAAATCTACAGGCATTGTTGCCGTGTGCTGCGGTCCAAGATAGCATCCGAGGCGCTATGAGGTAGGTCACTGCTAGTCTGTGTCTGTGTGTTATCCCGTAAGACTGCGGGTCATCGCACAGGACCTGCCAAGCTCGATTGCCCCATAAGACGTTTTGAGAAACGGTTGAACGGCCTAGTCAAGGTCTCGGCGAGACATTTCCATACACACCCTTCGGAATGGATGCCCTGTTGGTTGAGGGGTAGTCGAGACAAGCAAGTCTGTCACCTGCAATCTTACGGTATTTCGTTGCATCCCTTGGGCTCCACACATATAAAAATGCAACAGCAAGAAAAAGTGTGTGTGAAATGCATGTTGCACAAAAGCGCGGCTCCTTTGCACCTGATACTCTTCGACGGCTTAATCTTCGCCAAAACATCGGACAGTGGCAGGGTGGGGGCAACCTGGCTGGGGGTCGAAACGTCAAGACCATCGGTCTTCAACAGCGTTCAAAAACAGACCCGTCACGTGTTAGGCTGTCGTTCTGGCAGCATGTAGGGTACCCCGACTATCCGAGAAAAGAACGGTCAGATCAAATCGTGCCATATATATGCTTAGCTTATGTCAAGAGTGCCTCCTCCAACGTATGCCTACCTCATAGTAGAACGGGCACCGCTCCCTAAGGTTGACGGCGCCGGGGCCGGCCTCCAACTGCTCTCGGAACCTGAGGGTGCGCGCGTGAAGGAAAAAATGTGTCATGTCTCTGTCTAATCTGTGTCCTTGTCTCTGTCTATCTGTCTCTTTCGTGCTTGCATTCACAACGAATGTAGCCGAGTGTTCCTGCGTAATCGCAGGGACTCTACCACAAGCTGTTATAGATGCAATACATAGACCTATGTGAACCAGACAAGGTGCATGATTTGGACCTAGGCAGCTTGCCTGTCTGTGTAGTGCTTTGGCAAGTCCAGGTTCACCATCCCCTTGCCAGCGAGAGGCCGCGCCATCCATAGCGGAAAATCCACCTTTGGTCGCCGAGGGCGGCGGTAGCGGCGATGGTTGCAAAAACACAACCGCCAAGCGACAGCAACAGGACGGAGAAGAAAAATGAAACAGCCGAAAGAACATAGAACAGAGGTGGGTGCAGGCGTGATTATTCGCTGCTGCTCCAGCTCTCGAGTGCAACAAATCATGCCGTGAGCATGCCGAAGTAAGGCATTGCGGAGCTGCACATCCGGCGTTAGAACGAAGCGTGAGGGTTATAGTATTGCCGTGTTCTGCTACCTCAATCGTCCTTGTTGTTCGTCTCAAAAGACGCACATCATCGCTACTGTGTGTGAAGACGCTGCCTGATGTGGCCCGGGCGAAAACGTTCCTCTCCCATCTCTTTCTTCATCTACTCCTCCCATGTCGAACAACAACATGCACCGCGTAATCGTAACCGCCCCTTGGCCTACGAAACGGAGTGTTGCAAAATTCACATATCGAGCGTTCGAGATAAGACTATGACTAGTCGTTCGTGGTGTCCCCATCTCGAAGACGTACCTTCGCCCCTTGTGAAAGATCCTCGTCTGACGTGGTGGGGTCGAGAACGCCCATCCCGACGGCATCCAGCGTGAACACGCAGGGCACCCGTATCTCCTCGCTGAGAATGGTGTCGATGTCGTAGTAGCCCCCGGCGGCCATCGTCCCTGTCGTGATCTCCCACACTCGCCACCCTACTGAGACTGCTGCTCTTCTTTGCTATTTGAAGCAGGTTTGTTTTCCGTACTGGGAGATCAGCAAAGCGTTTTGCCTCGCCTTCTGGGCCGCTCTCTCTGTCCGTCGGCTGCTGGGCAATAAGCACGTTGCTCAAACGGCCAACCGTTGCCCCCAAAATTCAAATTTTGCTCGAAGGTTTGCCGCTATTTTTGTCACCACCGGCAAGCCCTTTCACGCTCCGCAGCTATCCCGACCCCAACAAGGATATAGCTGATCCAATACCTGCCCTCTTCCACGTCCTTACTCTCCCTCTACTCTGCGCGCCGCAAGACTGAGAGAACAAGAGAGATTGCCGCAGCTGCAAGCGTGGGAGATTGGGAGTGCCATTCGTTGAAGCTTGTTTCGCTGGGAGGGGACGGTGTTACTGCTGTGGTATCATCCCTCGGGAGTGTGCCATACATCGCAACCAAGCAAGGCAGTACAACCTCTAGAGTGTAGACGACTGTTTCATTAAATCAACAAGGTTCCTTCACCCCCTCTGTCTCCCCCTCGCAACTCGCAACATGGAGATGATTACCAGCATCATATGGAGCAATTTCGATGGTCTAGGAGGGGGTGGCGCAGATGTGTTTCTGTTTCTGCTGCGACGGGGGGATTCCATAGCGCTACAACCAGAGACCTTCCTCCTGCGGCGCCGCATGCCGCATGGCACCGCCGTCGCAGCCTCGCGCGTAAAGTTTAGCTACAGACAGCAGTTTACCTTACAGCTGTTGTCGAGAAGGGGGATACGGCGCAGTATGGAGAGCGACGGCGAAGTTTCGGCCTCGGCTAACCCTTCCCCGTCGCTCGGGGAGGTGCCAGCAGTGGCAGAAGAGACGATCGGCGCTTCAGATGAGCAGGAGGATCCTGCTGCTGCTGCTTCTGCCGTTGTTGACGAGGAGGGCGACGACGGACCGGCGGCGGAGGAGGAGGATGACGAGGGGGAAGGAATCAGCGACGACGAGGAAGCTTCGGGTCGAAGGAGGGGAAAGGGGGGAGAGGAGGAGGAGGGAGAGGAGGAGGGGAAAAGGGGGGTGAAGGATCCTCCCTACGAGTACCCAACTGGCTTGGTGGAGATCGATGAGCAGTGAGTATGGTACGATAGTCTAAACCCGCCGCATCTCTTCCGGTTTGACGGATACGCCGGAGTTTGCCTTAGTGGCCACACCGACACGTCCGCATACTTGTAGACAGCACAGAAATGCAGGACGTGCTGAGCTTCATGGTGCGCCATGATGCAGGGTGGAGAACTACGCGCTCTCTGTCAAACGGCAAAAGCGCATCTGAACTGGTGTCGTACGCCCAAGACGGCCTATCGATCAAACCGGGGAGCAAACTGCTACAGCAGTAGACTAATAGAGTTCATGACAACCAGACAACTTTTGCCATGCCGCTGATACAACAGTACTTCCGTGATGCTGCACACACGAACAATCATCGGTGTGTTTGTTACTCCATACTGTACCGCAATACCCAGGAAGATAGCATTTCGATATCCCTTCCGTTGTACCCCCCGCCCCCCGCCCCAAACGGTGTGAGCCAACGGCCTGCTGGCATACGGTCATACATGTGGTCAGCCGGTTAGCAAGGCCTAGATTGTACTGACAAAACAGAACTCAAACAATATTGAAAAGACACACACATCAGGTACACACTAGACGCGGGCGTGCCCCCCCACCCCGTCCCCACCCCGTCCCCCCGCCGTGAGTTAGCCCCGGCCTCATCGCCCGTGTGTCATTTTTCAACCTGAGTAACGGCAGCCTCCCCCGAGGCGTTGACAACACAACCCCCCTGCCCCGACCGGAGAAATTTGCCGCAGTGGCTCTCCTTCTCCTTTTGTGTTGCTTCGCATGCCAGTACCGTACAATATGTTTTGGCCCGATATCGTGAGTCCGATCGCGAGAGGTCCGCCACAGTGTGTGGTTCGTGCACGTGCGGCACAGAACGAACAGCACCTGGGGGTTCTTCTTTGTGGCTCTGGGGTGTGGTTCCTTTGCTGCGAAAAGATTCCCCCCCTGCCTTTGAGATGCGAGGTCAATAGTCTAACGACTACGGCATGCACGACTATGAGTACACCCCCCCCCCCCCAGCCTTTGAGTTGGCCGTGGGGCATTTTTGACCAAAACCTGTTGATACGAGCGCCCGCCCCGTTGAGTGTGACACGGAGGGGTGTAACTTCACCATTCACCATGACTTGGGATTTTCTTGAGCGTATTACAATATTTGCATTCGATTCTCTCACGACGGGTAGCAAATTGAATTGTTTGAAAATTTTGAACCTTGCTTTTAAGAACTGGCGTCTTTTTCTTCGACGGGGCGGTTTCTTTCGTAGCCAACTCTTCTAACATGAAACCACCAACACCAGCGGTACGGTACTTTCGAATTGTTGGCTGATACCCCGTAGACATACACAACCCCACTTCGCCCGCACTCTTGGTTCTTCGACCCACTGGTAGGTGGATGGTTTTTGCCGTAGATTTGATGGGGGGGGGGTTCGATCCCGCTCACCGCTGACGGTAGTTTTCGGTCAGACGTGTAGCGCGGGCAATGCTTGGAAAGGCCTAGGATACCCACACAGACCCACACATGGCAGTATGTAATCCCTTTCTTGTCACATGAACTGCGAACACGTAAAAACACTCCCAACAGGGAGCTAGCTCCGGCCGGTAACATCTACGATAGTTGGACAGCGACCCCCGGGGTCACTGGAGAAGCCTTGGACAACGTCACGCTCATACTCAAATTTGAGGCCATGGGGGCCCAGGTGTGGTGTGTTGGTGTTTTTTTTGCTAGCAATGACCGCGCTAACCGGCTGACCGATGGAAAGAAGACGCCAGTCTTAGCGGGATAAAAACGTGTGGTTGTGTGTGTGTGCGCGTGAATTAGCACCGACCGCGGTATGCGGCTGACCAATGAAAAGACGCTAGTCTTGTATAGAGAGATCATAGCGCGGACTCGCTTTGTAGTCATCGGGCTCTCCCGGCAGGGGGGACGCTGGGGACGTTTGACGGCGACGGGCCTCTTCCGGACTTGATGTCCAATTGTGTGTATGTTCTGTGTGGCGCAGTGCACTTTCTCTAACCCGTTTTGGCTGTGCGTGCCGTGTTGGGAGGGAGACCACGGAATGTGCACACCACTGCTGTGGCTCTGTCTGAGCGTCTCGAGCCCATCCGTGTGCTGGTTCGTTCATTCTGGCGTGTGTGTATAGTGTGGATTTTCTCCCCCCTGTCATCCACCCGCTCCCGTTCGGTTGCTTCGTGCGATGAATCTCGTGTAACAATTGAGTAAAATGTATCTCTTGTCGTCGTTTTTCTGAAAGGACTTAACCGTCGGCCTGGCGCACAAGTCCGGAGGCAAGGGAGGCATGTACCAGCTCATCATCGGCAACAAGGGCAACCTGCAAGTCGACCTCGAGAAAAGACAGCAGGTGGGAACAACATTGTTTTTGCGGACGATGGCGGGGCGATGGTGTGGTGACGATGAGGATTTAAATGGCGGCAGCACGGTGATGATGATGCGATGCTGATGCCGTTGATGGTTTTGATTGTAATGACGGTGGCGGGGCGCAGGGTCGACGTGGCGAGACGGTGGCATCGTCGGCGGGGCTCCTCTGCGCTTCCAAGAGGGCGCATCGGTGAGTTTGATTCTAAGTAAGCGGGCTAAATAGTTTCATGTTGCGCGTTTTTTTTATGCACCATTGCGGTGTTTTTGTCACCGCTTCGGCGAAGTCACCCCGCGTTGTATGTATCCTTGTTTCCGTTTCCTACTCGTTTTCGGCGTCGCCCTCTCCCTGCTTATTTCACCGCCCACTGCTGTATCCTATTCCACCGTTTCGAGGCTTTTGTGTGCGTGTATGTGTTGTTTCTACTGTCGGTCTCTAGCAGTGTGTCCATCCTCCTCGCCGGAGTATTTTTGCCCTCTCGAGGGTGATGAGGTACCGTGTGCACATGCCTTTTTTCTGAAGCCGTGTGTTGTCGTTCGGTGGTGCTGCTGTAGGCGCATTTTCTCAAGCTCGAGACTTGTGGTCCTCACCCTTCCCAACTGAAGATGTCGACATTTGTGTGGTCGGTGGGGGAAAACACGGTAGCGTGTATATGTAGACCCCTTGATAGTCCATGGCCTTGCGACCATGGCACAGGACAATGTCATCCGTCCAAAAAAAATTCTCTTAAGGCGTACGCGAAATACCACCTCCCCCTTCTCTCTCCCGCCTAGATCGGTCCTGTGGGAACGATTCTCCGTCCTCTCAAGGGCGCGTGGCCAACGGTCTAACAACTATGGCATGCAAAAGATGGGTACGCCCCCCCCCCCCCCCCCC